CCCCCCCCCACCCGCGCATGTCTTCCACATGTATTCCCAGTACCATGCTGGGGAAGAGGGGTAGAGGGTGACACCGTCCCTACCTTTTCTTTACCCAGTGAGTTGTCATATGTGCTGGGTGACAGATGCTCTAGCTCCAACCACTTTCTCTCCCTCAGAACCCAGGCCACATCTCTCTAGACACAGAATTGATTAGCCCTCCCCCTACCTTGCACGGTGAGTTTATGACCCCACCTAGTGCGTGCCTCCTTGGCTCCTGATACAGGCTGGGTCACACGCTTGTGAGGCAGAGGCATTTCCTTCGTCCTTGGGATCTGAAGGGAAGTGAGGAACCAAGTCTTCCTTCACGAGTCTTCACGATAGCTGCCTAGGGCCACGATGCCATTTCTCCTGATAGTCTGGAATTGGAGGTTCTGTCTCCTTCAAACCCTGCTGTGTTGTCTATGGCTAACTCATATTGATGTTGTGCCTCTTCAAGGCTTCATCATTGGCAGTCTGTGGCCATGAGCCTGTACCTTTCCCAACAGTGCTTCGGAAGGGAAACTGTGTTAGTTTCTCTCTTTACAAACTCACCATGATTGTCCTTCTTCTAACAATACGGGCTCCAAATTTCCCACCTCTGTCCTTCTCATGCATGCCTCCCTCCTTCTTTACCTGCCCCTAGCCTCCAGCTTCCCAGCCCTCAACAGTCAAGCTCTGTCCAGACTTCAGTGGGCTCAGAAAACAAAACAAAGGTGCTTGTAGGACTCAAGACCCATCCTCCAAGACCACAACTGCATTTTCCCACTGTGGGGCTGTGACATAAGGGACAGCTGGAGATCACCAGCACCTTTTCAGTTGTCTTTCTTCTGTAGAACTTGAGTTTTGAGTTTCATAAAATACTGAACATCATCTTTCCATTTACTATCTTGGTTTAATCTGGTGAAATATTTTCTCCAATTCAAGAACCAGTACGCTTCTGAAATCGTGTGTATTTTTCAAGTTTTGGTAGCAAAAAGTAAATACGATTGTGCCCTATGGTTTTGAACTGTGCATGCATTCTTGATGTCTGCTTCCAGAAGTCTTAATAAATTCAGTTCTGCTAAATTCCATGCTTCTACCCAGGTCATTTCCTTACTGTGACACTATCCTTCCGTGATTGATGGCAGTTCTATACAATGTGCTGGGATATTAAAAGCGGTATCGGGGCTGCCTAACATAATCACCATAAGCACCACTTTAGTAAACCCATTAAAGTGATCTCAGCAATCTCTAGTCTAGATCAGGACCAGCTTGGGCTGCTATTGTCTTTTTGGGCCTTTCTTTTATGAATTCGAATGAACCCGAAGTCTGTCTCAGACTCAGGAGTAGCCCACGCTTTATGTTTCTGCGGAGCTGTTTTTCATCACAGACTAATAAACGGTAGACAATGCTCTCGGTGGAGTCTGCTCGCTGCATCAGATCTCCGCCGTGTGACTGTGTGGAAATGAAAACAGAGGGGGGCTGAGATAGCGGGTGGAGACGCAGCCCACAGACACGTGGCAAAGGTGAGGGATTAGTAACAGTCTGTCTCCCCAGAAATAAAAAGATGATTTGTCACTGTGACAGAAAGTGTCTAATGCACGCATTGATGATTTTCTTCACAGACGCTTCGGGTCTGGTCTGTCCTTACTGGATTCCATTGGGAAAGGAATTCAAACTCTGCAGATGTGAATGTTTCTGAACCGATTTTAATGAAAAAGTGGCATTAAGTCTTCTCTGCACACTCGTTAAGGGTTTCTGCACGTTTGCCGAAGTGGTCCTCAGAAAAAAAATGGAATTTGGCCCCAGGCAGCACATTGCATTTATATGAAACATCAGCCAAGGTTTGATCCGTGGCTCTGATCATTGTTTTATTATCCTAAACTACCTAGGTTCTCTTGTCAAGACTGGTTTCCATGTCAGTTACACTCCAGAACAAGCAGGGCTTGTTGCAAACCTTCTCCTGGGCTGAAAATGCAGTTCAGTTGGTGAAGCGGTTGTCTACCCATGCCCAAGGCCCTTGGGTTTATCCCCAGCACTGTGTGGTAGTGTAATCCCAGCACTCAGGAGGTGGAGGGAGGAGAGGCAGAAGTGAGGTAGAGTTTGAGGCCAGCCTAAGCTACATGAGATCCTGCCTCAAACAAACAAGCAAAGACAGACAAGAACAAACAAACAAAACGAGCTTCCAATGGCTGTGTACTAGAGAAGCAACAGCGTCTGTCTTCACCTTAGAAGGCTGTCGGTGTGACCTTGAGAGCAAATGAAAGCTGCCTGCGGTCCTCATGGCTTCAGCTTCACCGGACTGGACAGTTCGTGTGGCAACAGAAGCAGATGGGGAAGGAAAGGCCGCTGGGGCTGTAGGGAGGCAGCGTCCACCTGGCTCCAATGTCTGACCTGCCACTTAGCAGCCATGATATTACAGGAGGCTTAGCTGACTCCAGTGACCTTCGTTCTGGTGTAATCCTCTTCCCTTGAGAGTGAATAGGGCTTGTGACTCGAGGTCAACCACAGAATGTGGCAAACACGATGCTTTGCGGCCGCTCCTGTTATGTTCCGGTGTGTGATGAAGGTGATAAGGTGCTGCCTGGATGACTCACATCCATGCAGAGGATCCCATCTTAGCCCAGGCTGGCATAGACCTACCCTCCTGGCACACAGAGGCAGACACATCATGAATTGAAAGCCAACTGGGGTTACATAGTACGTTTAAATGGAGCCTGAGCTACATAGCAAGAACCTATCTCACAAAACAAAGCAGCATTTCATCTTAAACTGTACCTTGTATAATCCTGTGTCTGTAACTCTAGTACTTGGGAGGCACCTGAAGGAAGATCAAGGAGTTCAGTGTCATTCTCAGCTACAGAATGAGTTTAAGGCCAGCCTGGGCCATATAAGACCCTGTTTCCCAAAACAACACACCATAAAAATGTTCTGAGTAGACCCAGGGAAGGTCGTTTTAGCCTCAGAATAACTATGATCTGCCTGTGAAGAGGGTCATGTGATGGGGAAAGTGGGCAGGCATAGGGGTGCAAGGATTTCTGTTGCTAAGAGCCAGTAAGAAGCTGGGACCCTCAGTCACGTAGCAGAAGGAAATGAATTTTTTTCCAAAAACCCAGGTGAGCTTGGAAGTGGATTCCTCCTCAGTCCAGTGTCCTGGAAAAGATGTGCTCCACCCAACTCCTCCACAGCAGCCTGTGGGATCCTGAACAGAAGGCCTAGACAGGCTGAGCACAGATGCCTTCCACGTGCATGCTCCCAAAGGGGTCTGCGGGACACCAGTCCCTCTTCCTGTCTTTCATTCTAGCTATCTCTTGAATGAGCCTCTGTGTACATGCTTTTGTCATGATGGTCTGTCTGACCAGAGGCCCAAAAGCCATGGGTCCAACTAAACACCGACTGAAACCTCCAAAACTGGGAGCCAAAATAACACTTCCTCTCCATGAGCTGATCCACTCAGGAATTTCATAGAGCAACGAAAAGCCACCTAGCGCCCTTCCCTTAGTAGGCTAAGTCACATCAACTGGAACAATAGCTCTTACCACACATCAGTTGTTCTTATCATCTTACTAACATGCTTTTGAAGGCAGGGAGCTATCTCAGCCTGTTAATTGCTTGCCCTGCAAGCTGAGAACCTGAGTTCAGTCTTTAGAACTGAGATAAAAGAGTAGAGTGGAGGTGGGGGGCATGGTGGTGCAAACTTGTAATCAGTCCCAGCACTGAAGAGGCAGAGACAGGAGGGTCCCTGAGGTTTGCTGACTAGCCAGACTGTCCTAATAGGCAGTTCCAGGACAATGGGAGAGCCTCTCTAAAATACAAGGTGGATGGTGCCTGAAGGGCAATGACACCTGAGGTCGACCTCAGACTTCTATTCACATGTGTACATATGTGCGTGCACACACACATATCTATGTGAATACAAACCCACACATACGAATATGTATGTTTGTATGTGTGTGTGTGTATATATATATATATATATATATATATATATATATATATATATATATATATATATATATAATTTGGAGTTTCTAGGAGACCTAGGCCATGCTGAGTTTCAGGACCCAAAGTCTCACTCTGGGACTTACTCTAGAAGAGCCCAGGGAATCCACGCCTGGTGGACACAGACACATCTATCTTTTTTTTTTTTTAGCTCCCTTGACACTGCACCATTGTCTACTAGATTTTTTCCAGTCACCCGCTCCATGCCCAGGAAGACACAATATCAACAGGAATGGGAAGTTCTCCTTCTCCTTGACCCAAGAGCACCCAAGTGGTGACCAGAAGCCATATGATAAGCCTGACATTGGAGTTTTGTGCTCGGGACTGAGATCCTAGACTATGACAGGGACACATACCAAGGTCCTCATCCATAGGCTCCAGAGAGAGGCTGCGAGGTGGTTTACATCCTTGGTCATGTGACACTGTGAGACTGGGCTTTCTAGTGACTCAAAAGTGATATCTTACAGGGAGTTGGTGAGAACTCAGGTACATAGTCCTAGCACTGTGGTCATGAACCTGGAACCTTCCAGAAGGCAGGCCCTCCAAGATAAGGTGTCTCTATTAACAGTCTTCTCCAAAAAGAGTCAGGCTCCACCCTTTTGCAGTGTTGATGTGGGAAAAAAGAGCAGGGAGACTCTTTGCCTTATGACTGAAGTTTTGGGGTTTTTAAAAACCTTTTAGTGTGTGTGTGTGTGTGTGGTGTGTGTGTGTGTGTGTGTGTGTGTGTGTGTGTGTGTGTGTAAACAAGTACATCGCACAGGGAAAATGTGAAAGCCAGAGGGACAACTTTTGGAAGTCAGTTCCTTCAACTGTGGGTTCTGGGGATCAAAACTCAAAACTCAGGTCATCAAGCAAACACTCTCCAGCTGAACTACATCACTGCTCCCGTACCCACCCCCTTTTAAGGATAAGATCTCATGTATGTGTCCAAGGATGCTCTCAAAATCATCATGTAGCAGAGAATGACCTTGAAGCCCCTCTCCTCCTGCTTTCATCTCCCCGTTGCTGGGATGACAGGCTGGGAGGACAGGCTGGAATGCAGTACTGAGGATAGAACCCTGGGCTTCAGGCATGCTACACTAGCATGCTGCCAACTGAGCTGTAGCTAGCTAGCCCTTGCCACTCAGGCTTAGAGGCTTGGGAATAAGCTCTTTCAAAACATTCTCAAGCTCTTGAAAGCCCATTGCTGATCGATGTGGGCCTACACGTTTAGCCTTAAGTATTTTGTGCTAGTTGTCTATTTAGTGCTACCCTGTGTGGACTGTCAACACACATCCTTGAGGAAACAGCAGGTGACCTTGTTAACTAACAGCAGGAACGTAGTCTAAAGATGGAAGCACCTATCACACCCAAACTGTCCTTCTCTGAGCTGCCTGATGAGACCCACTGTCTTGTTGCTGTCAGATTTCTTCATGTGGCCCTGGTTATCAGCCCGTCTCTAAGAAGCAGAGAAAACTAGTCTCCTGGTGCTTGCTCTTGGTGATGGAAGAGGAGCCCAGCAGAAGCTTGCCGAGCTGGAGCCCAGTCTCTGGAGGTGACAGATGACGGGGGGACTCTAGCTCAGCTTCTCCACTTGCCAGTTCATCACTCTGACTTTGTTTACTTAACCCCCTGAACCTGAAATCAGGCCAGCGAACACCACATTAGTAGGCATTCACCCCAGAGCCCAAGCCTGGGCAGTCCTCACTGACGATGGCCATTACTACATTATCATTAGCAATGGGCTATTACTAATTATTCTCGTGGCTACGGCTCTGTGGCACATGTAGGCGTTTGTACAGCAATTAGCATCTCTAGTATGGCACAGATCAAACGACTCCAGGTAAGAGGAGACTCCCTGGTGCTTAATTCAATGAAGCAAATTACTTGAAATGTGTTCTTGCCCACTATATGCCAACTTCCTCGGAAAAAGTCTTGAAGGCCAAATGGTCTGTGGCAGACGAGCTTGACAACAGCCACAGATAATCCCCAAGCAAGTGGCTGTGGCTGTGCTCCAGCTGATGGTCATTTGCAAAGAGAATTGGCTGCCTGGATTTGGCCCAAGTGGTTTGCCCAAGCACTGTCCTAAGTTTTTGTTTGTTTGTTTGTTTTGTTTTTCTGCCTATGTCAACAAGGTGGTCCTGCACTGAGCCCTGATGTGAAGAGTCAGACACAATGGGATCTGAGTCTTGATAGCCTGTCTCCACTGAAGCATTCTGGGAATATTACCCAACTTTGTAGTGTTCTGAGAATATTACTTCACCTTCCCAGCCCTCAGGTTTTTCCTGTGCAAACTTTAGGCAGCAGAACTTCCTGGACAGCTGACTGCCCAAGTCTATGAAAACTAATGTTTACATAAAGGACCGAATATATGTAAATTAAATATGTGAGTGTATTTCAGGGTTTGGTGGTGGTGGTGGTGTTTTGTTTTTGTGTTTGAGACAGGATTTCAAAAAGCCAAGGCTGGCTTTGAA